CGGGTGTACTTTCCGCCTCCTTGAACCATATCCCTCCAAATAGATTGAGCTTGAACGAATTAATATAAACATGATTTTCAGTCAGAAAACCGCTGTCTCTGGAACATGGCCATTATTGAAATACTTGTGTTTGCTGAGAGATAATAATTGCGTTAGGCCTAACCATGTAGAATAAAGATAGCGATTTTCACCGATTTTCTCTTTTTGATGTCTATATACGACCCCATTAAATGTCAGTCAAGTTTCTTGTCCCATTGTCGGTCTGATCTGCTTTGCAGAAGACACGGGGTAACAGACTTCCAATGGCAATTGTTGACTAGATTGATTAAGATAGCTGGCTGAAGCACGCCCGATATTTTGTCTTCATATGCGGGTTCATGAGACTGCTTCTTCCCTGTGAAAATATATGCAGAAGAGTAAGATATGGACGATTCACAGGTTCAAGTCTGCTTTCAATTGTTTATGTCTTTAGATAATGTATATAACATAGTGAAAGCGTTGGGGAGGGCGTGAGGGTAATGCAGCAGCTTCAGCTTGCTATATATACGGGTCTCCTTTCGTTAGGCAGTCACTGAAGAGCTGGGACGTCACCTACAGTTAAATATACTAATTGCGGGAATTTCCACTTCACTTACAATTCTAGTTTGCTGCTTGTCTCATGTATTGATTCATGCGCGTGAGTGTCATTGGATAAAATACTTACTGGAGAAACATTTCTGAGTCACCTCGTCTGCTGAGTGGCCATCGATAATAGTTTGGTCAACTTGGTAATATATTGTTCTGACCAAAATCCAACTCAACTTCAGCTATCACTATCAAAGTCACATTATTCTTCCCCTGTTTATCTAGACTTCTCTCCTTTGAAAGGCTGTGACTTAAATCGCCAACCATGATTGATACTTACCACAACGCACCGTCTCCATATTGCATCGGCGCAGTACTGATTATTCAGTCACACACTCCCCCTCCTCCGTTTCACAAGGGTGAAATCTTTCAACAAGGTAGACCACATCGTTCTCTTTCTCCCCTAGAGCTATGTCTCCAGAACCCCCTTCTGCCAGGATCTGACTGTCACAACTTTATCAATATCCGTTTAATCAAGGGGCTTCAAACTGGCCCTCATAAAAGGTCCCAGGTTATTGTTGTAAGATGCGTGGATGACTTACATTCGTCAGGTCTACCGACAGATCAGGATATGATCGCCAAGTTCTATGACCCCCTCTACCACGACCGTGACGATGGCAACCCTTTCCGGGCAGCTGACTATGATTACTCGCACGAGTGTGCCTCTTATAAGCATTTGTCAGAACTACAAGGCTCTGCTATTCCCCGGTTCTTCGGCTCTTACACATTCAGAACAGAGATCGATGGGCATCATCGCCAGATCCGTTTGATTCTAATTGAACGAGTCAATGGTCTGCCCATGAGTCGTCTAGAGGCCAGGAGATTCTCAACAGAGGAGCGTCAGGAGATTATGAAACAGATCATTGAAGCAGAGTCTGCACTTTACGCCAAGGATGTTCTCCATGAAGACTTGCGTCCACGCAATATCTTGATTGAACGGAGTGGGCTGGGAAGAGTAAGGGTAGTCATTATCGACTTCGGCAAGTCTGTTATTGGACGGTCACGCAATCCTTCGAACAGTGAAGAAGAGAGTCAATGGTTTCCTGGCGTCCCAATCAGTCCACTACTTAGATGGAACATCTATTATGGATATCCTAACAGCTTTGAAGATTGGATCGACTGGTCGTGGCAGGAATGGCTTGAGTTTCAGTACAAGGAGACTGAATCCGCGATCACAGATAAGCAACGGCAGATGTGGCCAGTGTATGACTGGATGCTGGAGATTGGACCACATTCATGATATGGTGGGAGACGGGTATGCAATACATGTTCCGAGTCCATGTTGTGCTGATAATCATGTGTCTCGGAGAATGTAACAAGACATGTGAATTATCGTTAACTAGAAGGATCTACTGTGTAATGATTTCTATTGAACCTACAACGCTAACCTTCGGTCCCTAGAGTAGGAGGGACTCATATAACGAGATTAAATTGCACCGTTTGAGAAAGTGTTACTGTAATTATGGACTAATAGGTCAAGCGGAATATCTTGCTTTGATCAAAACACCTACAGGGTATTCTACATCTCTATCTAGTTTTTAGAACATGTAGTTCGCATCATAGTTGAAGAAATCCTTCTTACCGAACGCGGGTCACAGCAATACTACTGGCATTGCCTATTCTCTACCATCAATGTTACCAGCAACAGCCCTTTGATAGCAGGTCATCATCCCCTCCGATTAAATTGAAGTGAGCCTCGGCGTCTTGGTTTCCATTTCTGGTAGTCCCTCCCGACAAGAAAGTAAACAACCATGAAGATCGCGAATGACTCTTGGAAGTCCACTTCATCCTTTACGTACCAACTAGTATCTACGTAGCACTTTGACCGAGACATGCGGACCCAGCTACGTGACCCTAACCTACGGCCCAGCGACAAGCAAACAGACGGGAACGAGAGAGCCAGCAGCCCAAACCTAGCCACCTACCCAATCGAACTTTATTGCTGCGTAGATACAGACTGAAAGAGAAAAAAGCTCTCTTCCAAGCAAGCTGACGACACCCGTGTGACCCGGAGCTTGTCCTTGTGGTGGCTATGCTATGCACATGTAACCATTCGGCTAACGCAGAGCTTAGCATGGGAGACTTGACAAGTCAGGTTGATTGTATGATTTGCTTATCCATACGGAGTAGATACTTAATCCATAGGGGGTTGGGTTCGTAATGGGGTCCAGATAAGTCTTGCAGAGAGAAGATATGATGAGACTGTACACCATTGGGCTGGGCGTCAGGTTCTCGCAAGCTTCCCTAACGGGATCATAACGATGATGGTGGTACAACGGGCAAACTGGGGAGATGGGATAGGGTAGAATAGGACGGAGAGCTCCGCCCGGAGAATTAGCATAACATGACAATAACAATACACGGGAAAGTGTACTGCATTGCACTGCATTACTCTACAGGATTGAATGATAGAGGCGTGATCTGATGTCACCATGTTTACTTGCTGTGGACGTAAGTGGAAATAGGATGCGCCGGATATGAAGTCAAATCAGTCAAGTCCCAACTACTAGACTAATTAAGAAGGAATATTCTTCTAGACGAGGATAATAAACACATTATTACCTCCGGCTAAGCTAAAGCTAACCTTACTTCCCTGTCGACTGGCTTTAGTATGCAGACTAGACTAGTCAGGTTCCCATACATGGATTAGATGGATGGGGGCTTTTTTTTGCACCGCCCCCTTCCTGCCAAGTCTTGTTTTCTTCTTTTCCTTCTTCTCCTGGTAAACTAAGTAGACTATTTACTGGTAGAGAAGTTAGGTTGGGGGTGGGCTGTTCCACAAGTCTAGACTTGTTGGCGCCTCGTCATCTTGCGTCTTGTTGACAGGATATTGATTATCTGTTTTAACACGACCACTTGATAACTTTTATCCGTCCTTTGACATTCATCACACTTTCTCATGTGGTACATGGAATATTCTTTCCCTGGCGAACCCGGCGGTTAGACCTGATGCGTAGCGTGCATTAGCTCGACTAGCCCAAACATTAATGCATCGTCATTAATTTGATGGCTTCTAGTAAGTTACTTAGCGAGTAGACCGATGAGTAGATAGATAGATAGTAGTCTAGATAGATAACTAGTCCAGTTTATCCTTCTGCGCCGCCTAGATACCTACTTTCTTGGTTGATAGATAGTACGTGGTCCGAGTGGAGCCCCTTTCTTGGGGGGCAAGTTAGAATACTTCAAGAGGCAGGTCCAACACCATCACCATCACGATGGATACCCATCTGAGCATCATAAGCCGAGAACGAGAATTACAGCGCGGCAAAGTTCCAGTCTAAGTACCGTTAGTGTTCTGAGGACCATCTCGTAAACGGCATTGGTAGCATTGTAGGTAGATTTAATAGTCATGCCCGTTGCCTCACTGCTGGGTATCCCGTTCCCCAAATGTTGGAGTAACTCGGGAGAAATTGGCTGGTGATGAGTTAAGGTACGTGGATGGAGCACGTCCTGCTTCGGGTTCCATTCCCCTTAATTCTAGCTCGACCGTTAGTCTGGAGAGCGAGGGATGCACTACCGAGGTGTGGATGTTGTCTCTTCCGTCACCACTTTTCCTTTCCCTCTCCCTTTCCAGTAAGTCACGTACTGTAGTAGGACTCCATAGACTCAGAGTCTAGATGTTACACCGGATTATTCTTGCACTGAAAAAGACCTTCTTCCCCAAACAGGTTTCGGGAACACAAAAACAGAAAAAAGGGAGCAGGACAATCATATCAATAAAGGCGGGTAATAATAAAGAGCTTGGAAATAATAAAAAAGAATAAAATGGAATAAAATTCTGAAAGGGGGAAAGGTGGGAAAAAATCAAATCAAAAGACTTTCGATGACGGGGTCGAGAATGAGGCAGTGCAAAGTGAACCGACGAGTTACGTTACAGCTTGGGCGAGTCGGAGCTCTGCAGAGGTCATTAGGCCCGTTGAACAAACCCCCCAAGAAACCAAACAACCCCCAGCGCCCTGTTTTGGTGGCAAGGAGGTGGTCTCAATCCGTGGGTATCCCCGTTAGAGATCAGAAAGAAAGAGAAAGATTGAAAGGCGCCCTCCCTTTATGTGAATGGAGGTTTCCCTGAAAGATCAATAATCCAACTGCCCTGACGAAGCATAACCATCAAACATGGGGTAGATAGTCAGCCATCGGGCAATTGGCAGCTTTTCTTCTGCAAACAAGCAGCTTTCGTTTCCCAAACTTACCACATCACTCGATCTGGACCAACCGGTGGATCCCGGAGTGGGGCATTCAGCCGTGCTGATTGGGTTCTTGCGGGAAAGGTGCAGGGTCTCCCACCGAATCATGCTGTAGTCGGTAAGTAGGTACCTTACCTGACAGTACCATTGCGCCTGCCATTCCTCTTTCTTTACTTCCATGATCTCAGTCCCCTCTCCTCTATCAATCATTCTATCCACCCAACATCATGATGTGTCGTTGTTCTGCTTGATTCCTAATCTCTCCCCCTTCCCCATTCATTCTCCCATTTCTCCTCCACTAGACTTTCTCTTGCCCTTTACCCTCTTTGTCTTCGCTTCATTCCGTAATTTACCTCCATTGGCTCTGTGCTCCTTCCGCCGACACAAGTGAGATTCGGTCGCTGGGTTGTTGGTTTCCCCCCCAATTCCCCTCAACGCAAGACATCTGTCCATTCGCTGGCTTTGGGGTAATACCTCGTCGCTGATAAACCCTTCTAGCACTGGCAGTGCTTTTAATCCGTTTACATTTGCCGGGATTGGTCCCACCATTGGGTCGTGCTTCGATAATTGTCACCTCCGGATGTGCTCCTGATACGACGTTACTACGTGGTGTGGCTCTCAGGTGCTGGCAATCTTGTCAACCTTCATATTCCACCGTTGTCCTTCCCTCCTTTTTCGCCTCACTAGTCGCCTGTTTCCCGTCTTTTCTCGTGCTTCTCCTCCCCCGGAACGCTTTTGAATCGATGTGGACGTTCCTTACTCCCACGGCCATTTCCGCGCATTCGTCTGTTTAATCCGAAGCGACAGTTCTTAGTGTAGCTAGAACACATGGGATATAATACTCGCGCATTCCTCTCCGGCGTCCGTTATTGAGCTTAATCAATTGCTACTTGCCTCTGGAATGATACCCACTTCTCTTGCGTCTGGATCCGAGATTTTATGATACGGCGCTGTTCAATTGTTTAGCTCCTTTTGGAGCCGCATTCCTATTGACGTCTAGTATCCTAGTCCTTACCAGCCGGTTGCCATCACTCGAAAGACCCACTCATCTCCGGTTGTTTCACCCCTTGGAAATATCATGTCGGATTCCAGATCGGATGGTCATGATGCTAGGCAGTCAGGGACGACTCCCCTGCGACGGGAGCGGGCCCCAACCATCACCATCGATACGTCGGCTGTAACGTCCCCAACCGACCACCAAGAACCTCCACAGCAGATACTTCCTACCCCGTCCCATCCCTCTTTGCAAGTGTCTACCGAAAATGTTGATGCGCATGATATGAGCGCGCTCCTGAGCAGTGGGGGTGTCTCGCCGTCGTCAGTCCGCTCATTTGCGTCGTCTGAGAACCGGGACTACGAGAGCCGTCCTACATCTCCGCACAATATTTCGTCTCCCGCCTCAAAAATGACTGAGAACATGTCGAATTCGAATTACCTGGCTGTCCCCGGCACTAGGTCTCGCGGCAACTCGTTGGAATCTGAGGACTCGAATAATTCGTCGACCAGCTCGTACGGAGGAGATACATATGTCCCCACAGCATCCCACGGCTCGCGCACCGATTTGACGCAGAACACGATAATCTCCGATGAGGATGCCCTTAAGCCGGATCCGGGGCGAGAGGCCGAGTTTGAGGTGGAAGACAACAAATTTGCATTCGCGCCTGGCCATTTGAACAAGCTGTTGAACCCTAAGAGCTTGGGGGCATTCCATGCTTTGGGTGGGTTGCGTGGAATCGAAAAAGGACTTCGAACCGACACGCGCAGTGGCTTGAGTTTGGATGAGGGAGACCTGGATGGTACTGTAAGCTTCGAGGATGCAACCAACACGCAAACGTCCGAATCGCTGCCAAAGACCGCTTCCTCAACGCCACCGAGCCCTCCCAGAACCGACACGGGCTCGTCGAAACATGTCGAAAATGCCTTTGGGGATCGAAGCCGCGTCTATGGGAGGAACAAGCTTCCTGAAAGGAAGGCTAAGAGTTTTCTGGAGCTGGCTTGGATTGCCTACAACGACAAGGTTCTGATTCTGCTTACGATAGCTGCGATCATATCTCTCGCCCTTGGAATCTATCAGTCTGTGACGGCAACTGGGAAGGAAGCACGCGTGCAGTGGGTAGAAGGCGTGGCTATCATTGTCGCCATTCTAATCGTGGTCGTTGTGGGTGCTGCTAATGACTGGCAAAAGGAACGCCAATTCGTCAAGTTGAACAAGAAGAAAGATGATCGACTTGTGAAAGTAGTCCGTTCCGGGAAAACTGCAGAGATCTCCATTCACGACATTCTCGTGGGTGACGTTATGCATCTTGAACCCGGTGATCTTATTCCAGTTGATGGTATCTTTATTACTGGCCACAATGTCAAATGCGACGAATCCTCTGCGACCGGCGAGTCGGACGTCTTACGCAAGACCCCTGCTCACGATGTCTATCGGGCGATCGAGCAACACGAAAACATCTCGAAGCAGGACCCATTCATTGTGTCCGGTGCCAAAGTTTCTGAAGGTGTAGGGACGTTCTTGGTCACAGCAGTCGGTGTTAATTCAACATACGGGAAGACCATGATGTCTCTTCAAGATGAAGGGCAGACGACCCCGCTGCAATCGAAGCTGAACGTACTCGCAGAGTACATTGCGAAGCTCGGTCTTGCTTCTGGATTACTCCTGTTCGTCGTGCTTTTCATCAAGTTCCTTGCTCAGTTGAAAGATATGGGCGGCGCATCCGAGAAAGGACAAGCTTTCCTACAGATCTTCATTGTTGCTGTGACCGTCATTGTTGTCGCTGTCCCAGAAGGTCTTCCTCTGGCTGTCACCCTGGCGCTCGCCTTTGCAACGACCCGGATGCTCAAGGACAATAACCTCGTACGTCTGCTAAGAGCCTGTGAAACCATGGGAAATGCCACGACTATCTGCTCCGACAAAACAGGTACCCTGACGGAGAACAAAATGACTGCCGTCGCTGCTACTCTGGGTAAGAATCTCAGATTTGGAGACAAATCCACGGAAACCTCCAGTCGTCCAGATGGCGACCGGGGTCGTGATCCTGCGACTACTCTTTCTCCCTCCGAATTCGCATCCAGCCTTTCCGCTCCGGCCAAAGACCTTTTGATCAAGTCGATTGTATTGAACTCCACGGCATTCGAAGGGGAGCAAGACGGTGTAATGACTTTTATCGGATCGAAGACGGAGACTGCTCTCCTGGGATTCGCGCGTACATATCTCGGCCTAGGGTCGCTTAGCGAGGCGCGGGACAATGCAAATCTTGCCCAGATGGTGCCATTCGACTCAGGACGCAAGTGTATGGCAGTGGTCGTCAAGATGGAAAATGGTAAATACAGAATGCTGGTCAAAGGTGCATCCGAGATCCTGGTGGCGAGATCCACTCGAATTGTTCACAACGCTACGCAGGACTTGTCAGAAGGGCCTATGTCGGATCAGGACCGGTCTAACCTGGACAATTTGATCAACCGTTATGCATCTCATTCGTTGCGAACTATTGGTCTGGTGTACCGGGACTTCGATCAATGGCCACCCCGCGGAGCACCCACGCAGGAGGAGGACCGTTCGCTCGCTGTTTTCGATGCAGTTTTCAAGGATATGATCTTGCTAGGCGTCTTCGGTATCCAAGATCCCTTGCGACCGGGTGTGACCGAGTCTGTCCACCAGTGTCAACGCGCAGGTGTCTTTGTGCGTATGGTGACTGGCGATAACATCATGACTGCTAAAGCTATCGCCCAAGAATGTGGCATCTTCACCCCTGGAGGTATTGCCATTGAGGGCCCCAAGTTCCGTCAGCTGAGCAGCCGCCAAATGACGCAGATCATCCCGCGGCTACAGGTTTTGGCCAGGTCAAGCCCCGACGACAAGAAGATCCTGGTTAATCAACTCAAAAAGCTGGGTGAAACGGTGGCTGTGACAGGCGACGGTACAAATGATGCACAAGCTCTCAAGACGGCCGATGTTGGCTTTTCCATGGGAATTTCTGGCACTGAAGTTGCTAAAGAAGCATCCGATATCATCCTCATGGACGACAACTTCACCTCGATTATTAAGGCTATGGCTTGGGGTAGGACAGTCAACGATGCTGTCAAGAAATTCCTTCAGGTATGGCTTATATGATCCTGTGTTTCGCAAGCAAAACTAACCGAGCTGTAGTTCCAACTTACTGTCAACGTTACTGCCGTGGTCCTCACTTTCGTTTCCGCAGTAGCAAGTGGAGATGAGGAATCTGTCCTGACAGCAGTTCAGCTTCTTTGGGTCAACCTTATCATGGACACCTTTGCGGCCCTTGCCTTGGCTACGGATCCTCCCTCGCCTCATGTTCTCGACCGTCGACCTGACCCTAAATCGGCGCCCCTGATCAATCTGACTATGTGGAAGATGATTATCGGACAAAGCATCTACCAGTTAGTCGTCACGCTGGTTCTGAACTTCGCAGGGAAATCGATCTTTCACTACAAAACGGCAGACGACCTCGATCGGCTTGAGACCATGGTGTTCAATACGTTTGTGTGGATGCAGATCTTCAACCAGTGGAATTGTCGCAGACTCGATAACAACTTCAATATCTTTGAGGGCATGTGGCGAAACTTCTGGTTCATGGGGATTCAGTTGATCATCATTGGAGGTCAAATTCTCATCATCTTCGTTGGTGGACAGGCTTTCTCTGTCAAGCGACTCGATGGAGCTCAGTGGGGTGTTTCACTGGTTCTGGGCGTGATCTCTCTGCCGGTAGGGGTGATCATTCGATTGATACCTGATGAATTTATTAGCAGACTCATTCCTCGGTTCTGGCAGCGCAAGAAGGGCCCCGAACTTCTGGTGTCCGACGAGGACCGGCGGTTTGAGTGGAACCCTGCGCTCGAGGAGATCCGTGATCAGTTGAAGTTCCTCAAGACGGTCCGCGGAGGTCGGCTGAGGCACCTCAAGCACAAGTTGCAACATCCAGAAGAACTCCTCCCAAGATCACGAAGCGGGTCACGGTCCAGAGAAAACTCGATTCCCGGTACTCCTGTTGGCGAACACAGCGACAGTACCCCGACGCAGCCACCGACCCCTGATTCGCGGTCTAGACGACGCACTCGGTCCCGCTCGAATTCAGCATTCGGGCCTGCTGCTGCTATGGCCGGTGTGGTTGCGGGTAGTATTGCAGGCTGGTCTCCAATCGAGCGGGCACCAGGCGACGGAGAAGCTTTCAAGGTTCAGACGGACAGCCCTCATGGGGGCCTGGATAAGCAGAAGGGCATTGAAATCCACCCCGATACTGCGGCTGATGACCGTATTCTGGGCGATTACCAGACCACTTCGAAGACTCCTCCCAGCCAAAACCCAGGGCTCCTCCCGTTCTTTGAATACGCACCGCCTGAGCGTGCTCCCTCCCATCGGAGCCAGAGATCCACTTCTCGCTTGTCGCGATCCAGCCAAAGCCAGGCGTGAAAGCAAACCATCCTCTTCCCAACTGACTCCCGCCTTGTATACTTACCACCTGCTCTCTCCTAGTTCACTCTATTCGTCTTTGCTTGTGATTTAAGTTCTTTCATGCTAGATGTTACTGCGCTTTGTGATGTTACTTGCTGATTCGTTGCTTTTCTGGGACTCAATTAGCCTTGTGCGGAATACTGTGTTTCTAATATCCTGGGGTGGGGTTGGCGTACGTGATTCAAAAGGTGTATTCGTTCGCGGTTGCTTGCTTTCTAGACACTTCTCGCATAGGGATACGGACCTGGTCAAAAGGGGTCGGTTGCTTGCTTTGCTTTATCCATTAGTTTTTCTCTCTCTGTACATAGCACTTCTTGCCTCGCCTGGTGGTAGATTCAGGTTGAGCTAAATACAGTCATCTCGAACTGGAATTACTATTCTCTTTCTCCTTAAGTAGATTGTTCATTGCCATAATTCAGAGCCGATACCACGCGCCACCATACCTATGTAACCCCAAAATTTACCCGTTGCGAAAATCTATAGTAGGAATCATAGATTATCACTCCTATGTGCCTGTTGATGTTATGCTCATACTAGTACCGATAGATACTACATACTTATAGGTAGACATTCTCAGAGGGCCGCGTGGCTGATCACTTCATTGTTGAATTACTCCCAGAGCTCATCCAAAGTCAGCTAGCTCCGACAGGGGTCTGCATCAGCTCGCTCAGTAAGGTCT